TGGGGGTGAGCTCAGGGCCCTCCTCCCTGCTATTCTCTGTCTGAGGGGCATTTTTCCCCAGCCCATCTGCAAGGAGCATGGAGGAATTTTGCCTGAGCCAAAACAAACAAAGGCAGCCGGCAGGCTGGATCCATATCGCCTTGGTGGCTATGCAAGGTGCTCATCCAGCCCCTTAAATTAGCCTATGGAATGGATACCATATCCCACCCCAGAGTCAGGGAACATTCATAGCACACCGCAGGACATGTCGTGGTCTACATGGCTCAAGCAGTGACTCAGACAAAGGCCATGCATTCGTGGCAGTTTTCACAGGGTCGTGGCATTTAGAGAAGAGCCACCTCTCAGATCTCCATGTCCAGGGATGATCCCTCTCTCCAGGCTTCAGCCAGTCTGTCCAGAAAGACATTTTCAATACGAAACCAATTGTACACTTGATCTGAGCCCACAGGGCACATCCTCTGCCTGCTGGATATGCAGTATTTGTCCATAAATAAAATCTTGCTGCGCCTTTCCATCCAGCCCCTTTCTCCAACCCTTCCTCATTCAATAATTTACTAGCTGTTCCAGAAAACACTCTGGCTTCAGCAGGGAGGAACTTAAACTGACTCGCTGGTATCTGGAGCTATGTTAAAATAGAGAGTGAAATGTTAGAAAGAATTTGCTGCTGTGTGTAAACTTCAGTGAGCTGATGACAGGCCAGCAGCCCTCCCACAGCCTCTCGTTAGCGCTGGGAGGGGCAGAGCATCAATTCCCAGGGCTCTGAGCACCCACGGCTGGGGCTGCTCCCAGCAGCAAGGAGGTTGTGCTGCCTGGAGTTGGCCTTAACTTCCAGTTGGACTTTGAGTTAATTGGGCAAGCAGCAGCGCCTGCCCAGTAACACTCCTTCTCAGCCCTACAGGAAAGCAGTAATGGCTGTGTGTGCTGGGGATCATAGGCCAGGGACGTCCAGGGCTCGGATGTGAAGAGAAAGCGGGCGAGGAGGTGAGAGCATCCCTTCTCTCTGCTTGCACCTCAGCTCGTTTCAGCTGAGGTATTGCTCTTTTCACAGCACTGCCCAGAGGGGCACTGCTCAGGTTGAACCTCGTGGGATTCTGCAGCAGCTGACGTCTGTGTTTTCCTACCCCTTCTCTTAAAACTTGGCAGTGCAGTCCCGCAGTGCAATGAAAGGGGCAGGTGAGGGCCTCCAGGGGCTGAAGGAAGGAAAGCTGCCTCCGCACATCACTGTCAGCGAGTGTTTATTTATTTATCATGTAACGGTAGTTACAGCCGGAAAAAGCAGGAGGGGGATGGCTGCCAGACAATGTATCTAGGGAGATGTTTTGTTACTGCCACCAGCTGTCCCTTCGGAATAGAGAGCACATCTCAGCCATGACTCACACAGCCAGTGTCTTATTTCACTCTCACATCTATCCAGAAATGTTCCTCCAGCCCAAGAATGCAATAAAAGCCTCCTTTTCCTGGCAAGGACTTCCACTGCCAGGTCTCTTCCACTGCCCCTTTGTGATCAGCACAGAGCAGCCATTTCAACAGCAGTAAAGCTGCTCGGGCTGCAATTAAGAGGACAAGCAGATAACCTGCTGGGCAGAAAGGTCAAGGGATTATAACACTCTCCTTGTCAGATACTCGTTCAAGATGAGAAAGGGGAAAAAAAAAAACATCAGATTGTTCCCACATGTCTCTAAAATCAGTGGGAAAAGTGCTCTGTATTTGGAGGGATCCATGATCAGATCTTAATACCTGAGACGTGAGCCAAGCCAGAGCGCAGCCTCCAGAACAGAGCTCAGCCTTCCCTTGCTGGCTGTCCCCTGCCGGCAGCTTTCCCAGCTCTTCAAGTCCTACTGCAGGGTTGGTGACTTTGAAGCCTATTCCTCCTCTTTATTCACAGCTCCGATCGGGCATTCTGGCCTCGATGCCCCAACACGGGGAAGCACAGGGGGACGGGCTGCCAGATGTTGTAGGACACATCTTTCACAGGATGGCGAATGGGCTGAGGCAGGAAACCACAGCCTGGGTTTGCGCCGCTGAGAGGGAAGCAGCTGAAGGGCCCATCCAGTTCTACAGGGTCGGGTCCCTCCGCGGGAGCTTTCCCCACAAGTGAAGTGCAGCTGCTGAAGATTTACTGAAGAGGGAACAGTCCTCCCCTACCGGCTGCATCCAGCAGGGAGAGGCACAGGGTTCTGCTGGCGGTGAGCAGGATTTGGCCTCTGCTCTCAGCCTGCTGTGTGAGCTTTGAGGTGCTTGCAGACCTCCAGCGCTTCGCGGCCACGCAGCCGTTCTGCTGCGCAGGGTTTCTCAGAGCAGCACGAACTTCACAGGCAACAAAATAAAGCATGGAATCAGTGAGGAGAGGAAGGGTGAAGGAAGCCTGGGTAACAACGCCTGTTGGGAAGCGCAGTGATTTTAGCCGCGTGCTGCGGGGAGGTCCTGGCGTGAGGATGGCTGCAACCCGGACCCCCAGCACTCCTGTTCCATAACGTCTGATGGGGAAAGAATTCCATCAGTGGCTCCAGCCATCAGCTCCATGCACGGATGCCCCTGAACACACGCACAACTTCAGGGGAATTAGGGTCATTTAAAAACAACTGAATACAACCGATCAAAGCTTTCATTCCTAAGGCTCTAATGCAAAATGTCAGCTTGACAGCAGCTCGGTGGTGTCCCTTTATATTTTTGGCACAGGCAGACTCTGCAGGGGGGTGGATCGTGACTATTTAGTGCACTGCCCTAGATGGAGCTGTGAAGCAGCTGGGGAAGGGCTGGATAGAGGTAGAGTCTCAGTGCCACATTCCAGAGATTAGATAGGAGCTCTGCCCTGAGCTCTGCGGAGGGGCCAGGCAAGTGAAAGCTAAGGCTGCAGGAAAGATGGGACCTTAACAGTCAAGAGCTTCCAGAAATAAAAAAAGAAAAGTGGGTCAGAGTGAAGAAGGGTGCGTTTAACATACAGGGGGAAGACAGAGACAAGCTGTCAGTCATTAAGAGAGGATCCCCATCCCCAAAAACACTCCCAAAATGTCAGAGGTGAGAGTAACTGGACAGGGGAGCTGGAATCTGAGTGTAGTTACCAGGCAGAGCAAAAACACTACACTTGCTCTCCAGGAAAGTATTTCCAGCTTAAAAATAAATAAAATTTTGCACCAGGAAAATATATGTTCCACGGATAGGATGTCTTGGAACGTCTCAAATCCTTCACTGCGCTGCTGTCGCAAAACTCCATGCCAGCCATCACATAAACAACTTTCTCATCACTAGCAAATAGAGAAGGAGTGAAGGGGTGGGTGGTGTGCCCTGTCCCCAGAACACATTTCAGTGATGCTGTTAATGAAGAACTACAAAAGGTATTGTGATTCTCACAGTGCAGAAAGCCAAGCTAGCAAGGGGCTTGATAAAGCAGCCAGAAGGCAAACTATCTGCCCAGCAGCACAAGTTCATTCCTTTGTGGTGGTGCACAGCCTCTAAAGCTGTAGGAGAGCTGGCGATGGGGGAACCACGGGTGTGAGATGAAAGCAGGTGCTCACATCTCTGATTCCTACACAGAGCAGCCTGTCCTCCTCAAAGCGGTTTCCCGCTAACGTAGCCTGAACGTTCGATCAGATACAGCACAACATTTCATCTTCATCTAAATCATGACAGTGGGCTCCTGGGTGCAGAACCCAGGATGCTGGAGCTCTGATTTCCAATGTGCTTTGGCTAAAACTTGAGTTCTGCATCATTACACGCCTCCCATTCACCCCACTTCATGTCACAGAAAAGCTTCCCTGAGAAAGGCATGCTCAGGTTTTCACCAGGCTTGGCTCACATGGGATTGATACAAACTTTGATTAAACCGTGAGAAGAATTTCACATCATTCTGCACTTCTGAAGAGAGAATCCTCCCAAACTGAACATACAAACCCCTTTTCACAGCTCATGGGAAGCCCAGACAAACCCTGAGTATCCTTCCAAGCCACCGCAGCCTCTTTGAGAGCTCTGCTTGACACACTGCTGAGCAAAGCAAACACCCGAAGCTTGTGTCAATAGAATCTCTGTAGTCCTCATTTCTTTTATGAAGGACGGGTTCCACACCCACAATAGTTCAGAGCAATCACAATAAGCACTTCACCACAATGCCTCCAAGTGCTCTGTCCTTGGCACGCAGCTCACACCAGTCCCACTAAGTGCTGCCTCACCTCCAGGTCTGCACACACGTTTATCATCACAGCTCACAGTCTGATTCTTTGGCTCCTGTGCAATCACTCATCCGACATCTGCATCCCCTGCAGAAGCAAAGGGGAAAGAAACAGAGGAACCCTGCAAGAATCTCTAAGGCAATAGACTTTCAAAATCCGTACTCTTATCTGGCAGTGTTATCACTCCTGGAGTGCTAAGCATTTTTTAAATATTCAGCCAAAGAAGAGAAAAAATAGAGAACAATGTGCTCAGCACGTGGAATTGGAACTGTTCTGCACCTCAGATACCCACTGTGAATTATCAGCCTGGCTTCACAACATCTGTAACAAACTTCTGGCTTCAATTCCTACCGATACCATCTGTAACACTAACTTCAACAAGCTCCAATTTGGGATTTCATTCTCCTGGAAGAGCAGGGGGAAGGAAAGGCAATTTCTTGCTCTGGGCGCTCCAGGTGGCTCTCAGGGCCAAATCCACAACAATGGGGATTTTCCAGCAAACCAAAGGGGATTGCCACTCTCCCCTCTGAGCCAAAACAGTGGTCCTTCAAGGTCAGCAAAATAATAAACTGGCAAATGGAAGGTGAATGGAGAACCTGCCAGCTCTGCACCTTGCCAGCGATCCGTCACAGTCATGGATAAACAGATCCTGACGCTTCCAGGATTTTCCACCCATCTCTTGTCCCACCCACCACCAAGTCGTCACTTAATTTTAAATTAAAAAGGAGCGCGGGGGATTGTTAAAAAGACGTAGCAAAAGCTGGGGAGGGAAAGCTGAGAGCCTGGGACACCCAACCCCATCCAGCCTCTATCGCTGCTTTGTTCCATATTTAGCCCCCGACAACTGTCTCCAGCGCAGGGACTCCCAGCTCTGTTTTTTCCCTGCCCCCTGCACTCCCCGAGCTCTCCGAAATTGCTCTTCTTCCCGGTGGCTGTAACTGACTGCCCCTACAGCCGAGGAGATGGCAGAAAAGCAGGAGGAACCCAGCAACACCCAGAATGGTGAACCCGACAACGCAGAGGAGGGCGAGGGGAAAACGAAGAAGAAGGTGAAGAGGGAAGACCTGCCTCCGTTTGAAATCGTGACAGGGTAAGGGGGCTCACCACGCAGGGGTGCAGGAGTCTGACATGGGCACCTTGAGAGGTTTCTGCCTCAGCTCTGATGTTGGGTAACCAAAGGCAGCATCTGAAGTCGTGCACTTCTCGGTGTTTAGGCTTTAAGTCTGGCTTTCATTGCTGCGGGATTTTGTTAAGTTTCAACGTGTTTTGGAGCACAGACTCAGCCCGGGCAGGCAGGCAGTCAAATCTATTTGTTTTTATACAAGTAGGGCTGCTTCCCTAGAATTCAGCAGTCTTTTGCATTGCATGGAGTCCTGCTGAGTGCACTGGGATCGCTGCCCGATGGGAGGCACGGCCCTTGGTGAGCAGAGATCGATTTCTTGGCGTAATCAATGGCTCTGTCTGAAAGTTTCTCTATCTGTGCGTTAGGAAAAATAGCCCTGCTATGGCTGATTTGCTTTACGTACCTAAGAGACAGATCTTCCAAGAGCTCCACACTCACATCTGGAATTGGGCACTTGGAGAAGCCCTGCTCATGGATGGGCACCAAAACAAGAAGTGGCTTTCAAGCCAGCAAAGCAGCAGGCAGCTTCTTTTGTTGCAGAGAGCCTGGCCCCTTGAAAGAGGAGATACAACAGATCTGCTAGGAAGCTGAACTCTTGTCAGACATTGCTGACAACCGCTAAAAAAGTGTAATCTGTTCTCTCTAAGCACTCAGAAATGGTCAGAGCTCTGGTGTAAAGATGCCCCATGTAGTTCTTCCCTCTGGTCTCCCCTGAAGTCACCAAGGCTCCCAGTGCATAAACCAAACCCGTGATTTCTTCCAGCTGCTGCAGTGCAAACCTCAGAACAGACTGCAGAGCCCCACTAGGAAGGGCTGCTGCCCGGGACGTGGCCACCAGTAAGAGATGCTGCAAACTCTGTTGGGTTGGCACTTCTGAAAGCCACGCACGAGGTTTCATCTCACACAGCTGGGTTAAGCAGGGATGAATGCATAGGCTCTGAAAATCATCAATTAGATTACTTTGGGTAAAGCTTTTTTGGGAATGAGTTTAAATCCACGCTCTGCTATCTGCATACACAAAGCTGGGAGCAGCCCATTTTCTTTCTGTATGTTGATACCAAGCAAGACAAGAGCTGAAATCCCTGAAGGACTCAGCTCTTTGGTGAGGGAGCACAGAGCTGTCACTAGGGGTATTCATGCTGTGCTCATTACGATACTATTTGGAAACTGTTTAAAGCTATCTGGAGAATTCCTGCATCGCTCATGGCCTGGTATCCCCTGATTATTAGTTTATGACTGATATACTGGGTGCTAAAGGCGAGGATGAGGAAGCGAAGCAGAAATCCCAGAGGACCCAGAAAGATGTGCAGGAAAATCCAGCAATTTTTGCTCTCGTTCTGGGAAGGACCCTGTCACTGCAGGCTGTGCCTCCACCTGCTCTCATCACTGCTCAGATTTCCCAATTACTCACAATTTTTCAGCCAATAAAGCCAGCTATGCGAGTTATGAGAAAGCAACTGCCACTGTGCAAGCACTTAAATTCAATTACACTGCCTACTATTCAAGAATTTCAGTTTCAGCCCTTGGATTAGGGGCATCTTCTGACACACAGCCAAGTTTTCAAGCTGAGGCTCATAGCAGAGCCTGGTGTACACAAAACACGTTGGGAAACTGATCAGTCTGTTTGAGAACATTAACTTCCCCCCCCCCTCACTTTTTGTCAGCATTTGGCTCAGTACAGCTCTGGATAAATGCAAGCTCCTGCTGTGTGTTTTTCATGACATTTAAGTGGATATATTTATTCACACATTACCTAGAGTGTAAATGAGGCTCCTTCTATCAGGAGGTGATAAATCCTTGGTTTCTGTTACAGCTGGTCATTACAGACTTTCTATCATCGATGAGCACAAGTGTTTATTTGGGAATAGTTGGCAAAAAGCAGCAAAAACTTCAGATCCCAAAGCACCCCCCCCCTTCCACACTCACAGAGCTCACATGCAGCTCCTAAACACCGTGCCCTTATTGGAGAGGGAAACGGCGAGAAGATGGCTTCTCTATTTGCAAAACGAAAGAAGGCAGAGCAGCTGTCAGCCCAGTCACCACAATAGTTGGCAGTTGTCTATTTTAATAAATTCACAGTTATAGGCCAGACAACACCATGTTTGCATTTAGCACCTACAGCAATACAGGGTCTGGTGTAAGAAATAGGAGAGCAGAACTCATCTTGGTACATTCTGTTGGCATTCTGCTTTCCTAATCTTAGAAAACCAAAAAGGGCAAAATAGGGATAATGTGAACGTTTGTACACCACCTGCCACGCAATCCTGGGAAAACAGGCTTGCCAAGACTTGGTGATTTACTCAGGAACAGACACGAAGCTGGACCTCAGCGTCCAAGGAAGTAGGCTTTGCTTTCACAGCACACGACAAAGCTTTCTTACGGATGTATTTTGGTTATCAGTCACTTGTGGAGCGTTTAAACCTACCCAAAGAATCATGATACCTTGCTTCACCTCGCGTCATCTGCCAAGCATGCTGTAACTCAGAGGGGAGAGAAAGCAGCAGACAGCATCCAAGCACGCATGCAATCCTATGGCACACGTGGGTGCTCTTCCTGCTCTTTCACTGCTGCACCCCTTGCTGTGGGACTTCCCAGTTGCTCAGGGGACCAGAGACACCTTGTCCAAGTCCCAGCTGCTGGGAAGTCACAGCAAGGACGCAGCTGAGCCTCCTGAGGACTGTTGTTTACAATTCACACTTGTGCTGAAGTGCCCTCCCTCCTCTGGTTTACATGGGATTAAGGAGATTCTTGCTAACTAGCAAACAATCTACTGGTTGCCTCCGAATCAACCATCAAGTTTTCCAAGCTCTCAGCCAATTACTTAGGCTTGGAAAAAGCCCTTAGCTTTGTTTACATTCCTTATTGGAAACCTATTCATTAAGCCAATGCACATTCCATGCTGCCAGGACAGATTGAGGTGAACATCCCAGATAATCTCAGATGGATGCCAGGATGATAAGCACACAGATCTGTCTAGAAGGTCTGATTAAACACACAGTGAGTCAACGCATCCTGGAACAGATCACTGCTGTTCAAACTGCTCATCAAAACATACATGCTTAATTTCATCTCTGATGTCACCACTTTGCAGTCAAGGGAGTTAAATCAGGAATTAACTCGCACCTGCGACTCCGATGTGACACATCTGAACACACGACGTTCCTTCAGAACAGCTTCTTGCACCCACACAAACTTGCCTTCGACACGAGGCGGCCGGCAGCTCGTGGCACTCAGCAGGCTGGGCTTCCAAAGAAAACCTCAATTAAGGAATCATTAAATCGTTATCTGAAGAGTCGTTATTATTAGGACAGAGAGCAGCAGAAGTGCTGTTCTCAGAAAGATGTAAACTTTTCTTAGCTCAAAGACAACAAATGGAGTTTGTGGAATGAGAGAAGCTTTGCTGAAATAGCCTGACGATGCTGTTCAGTGACACCAGAGGAGGTCTTATAACACAAAGAAAATGAGAAATACCTGGCTCTAACAGGTAACCTTAGCTTCCATTTCTTAATGTTTTCCCTCTGTTCCCTTAATTTAGAGGACTCCAGAAGCTTTTCTAGGTAGTTTAGAACTTGTGCACAGAGAACCACAGACCAAATCACAGCAGAGCAGCATGATCTGTTTGCTCAGTAACCAAAACAAAAGCCTGTATCCACACTACTGCTGGCCATCCCTCATGAGCACACCTCCAGCTAAGACAATGCTAACACAGAAGGCCCCAGACAGGCTTTGCTATTAAATCCCAGCTTGGATAGACCTCATCTAAACAGCACTGAATAACGTAAGCATTTAATAATACAGTTCAGAAAGCAGCAGAAAATCTGCTTCTAATAAAACTTCTGAAGCCAGCCTTGCACTCTAACCATGCATTGTTATATAAATCAATGACATGCAAAAAGAATTAGGGTACTCTTTGAGTGACAGCACCAGCAGACATTCCTGGTGTGGCTGCTGTTCCACACACGATGCTGTTTCGACTCATCCATCTCACTGCATTCTGAACAATAACAATCTTCTCCTCCGAGCACAAAGCACTGTGCCAACCTAACCGTATCAACTCTCACACGACTTGGCTTGTGCAGCACACTGCTATTCCAAGGGAAGTCACTCATCTGTAAAATCACACTGTTGGGAAACCCAAACCAGAAGTGTGAGCTGTAACTCCAGGCCTTTCATTGCAAATGTGCACTGCAGGACCAACCAGAGCCTTCACCTGCTGGAGCAGCAGCAAACGTTCTGCAGGGACAGTGCTCTGTTATGCTCCTGCTTTCTGAAAAGCCAAAAACACCACAGGACTTTGGCAGCAGGGAAACCTCTGGCTGTGTGAGGACAAGTGCAGATACGTGCGTAGCAATGAGAAGTTTCTGGAAGTTTCTAAGTGGAATTAAACAGAGACAGAAAAATGTATTTAACCATTTAGGGTGACGTGGCTAAAGCTTGATAGCAGCTATAATTTACTCTGTTATGCATGTAGACAGCACCAATTGCAATCCTTTTCCACACAGAAGTCCTGCAGCCCATGCTGCAGCTCTTGCATCCAGGTATGACGGGATGAACTGTTTGCTACACCCTGCTTTCTGTTGAGCTGTTCCCATTCCAACCTGACAAGCAGAGCATCACGCTACTTGGGGCATTTCGTGCAGTCCTACCCTCAAAGCGAGGCCTTTTTCATTACAGTCCATAGGAAGACACCTGCTGATTATATATAATTCCAGCCCTTCACAGAACAGTCCTTATTCCAGGATTGCAACCATCCCACATTCTCAGCACGGCCCAGGCCAGGATTTCCCACTAGCAACCTGACAGTGATTCACTTCCTACACACTGAGCACAGCATACTGATTTTGAGTCCATTCATTCTTTTCCATGCCATTTATTTCCACCATCTCTGGAGATATCTTGGGCCACGTTGCATCACAGATTCTTTCCCCTCAGCAGAACAACATTCTGTCGCTGCTCCTGCAGCCTCACTGCTCGCCCCAATTAATATTTCTAGGAGTTTGAGAAGCTGTCCTGACCTTTTCACATTGCACCCCCTGGAGAGATCTGACATTATAACGTAACTGTAGACAAGAGATGAATAAGACACTTAGTGTTTTACAAAGATTGATTATAGCTTCGGTGGGAGCAGCAAGGTTACAGGTGCACCTGAAGCTCAGATGAGAGGAGTACAAGACTCTGGAAGATTACTAGCATCTAAGCACTAAAATGTTGTGCTGCTTTTTGTTGTTTTGCTTTGGCTACTCCATGCAGCCATCACTCCCACCCTCACAGGTCGCAGGGCACGTTGTCAGCAGTATCCTTCCTCTTTCCAACATTCTTCAAGCACAAAACACACACTCCAGTTAGGTGCTACAGGGAGCAAGCAGGAAAGCTCCGTACTGCCATTTATCAAAGCGAAAAAGACTAAGTGTTGAAAACTGGAAGCCTCACCACACAGTAATTGATCACCCAATGATGTTTAATGCATTTTTAGCCTTTCTTGGCAGGGATCTCCTTTTAACAGATAGCAAAAGAGAATCATGGTGGACGGTGCGACCGGTCCACGATCACACAGGATCTAACCCAATGCTGTAACCTTTCATCACCTGCTTCCTGAGATGCTTCTCTCCTCTCTACTTCCCACAGGGAACGCCTCCCAGCCATATTTTTCAAGTTCCAGTTCAGGAACGTGGAATACAGCTCAGGCAGGAACAAAACCTTCCTGTGTTACGTTGTAGAGACCCAAGGCAAAGAGTCGACGACTTCCCGGGGTTACCTGGAAGATGAGCACACAGCCTCCCATGCAGAAATCGCTTTCTTTAACACCATTTTGCCAAAGTGTGAATCGAGCCTCCGCTACAACATCACCTGGTACGTCTCCTCCAGCCCCTGCGTGGCCTGCGCCGACCGGATCAGCGAGACCCTGAGGAAGAACAAGAACCTGCGCCTGACCATCATGGTGGGACGCCTCTTCATGTGGGAGGAGCCAGACATGCAGGCTGCCCTGAAAAAAATGAAGTCTGCTGGCTGCAAGCTGAGGATCATGAAGCCTCAAGACTTTGAGTACGTCTGGCAGAACTTTGTGGAACAGGAAGAAGGAGAGGAAGCAAAGGCTTTCGTGCCATGGGAGGACATTCAAGAGAACTTCCAGTACTACGAGGAGAAGTTGGCTGAGATTCTGCAGTGAAGCTCACGTGAGTGAGGACTTCTGTTTGCTCACCTGGCTCCCTGTATTACTACTAGACTTCTCTTTTTCTTCAGGTTGTTAAAAACATAGCATGCAATCATTTTCATTTACTATTCCCTATGTGCCCAGCTGCACCTGGCAGTACCTGAATATTATCCTAGGCAGCACCTTCCCCCTCTAGAGGCAGTAAGGACACAATTGTCTCCTTCACAGCAGATGCTGAAGGGACTTAGAGATATTTTTTCCCTCGCAGTGAACACCTCCCAGGGGAAAAAGAATTACAAGGTAGGATCGCTAGATGGAACAAGAGTACCTCACTATTCCCTGCATGTATGATATTCAGAGCACATGTGAAAGAAACCAAAGAACATACAGAAAAACGGAGCTTCCCCCCACACCCAGAACAAAAACCAAAACAACAACACACCACTAAAAGCAACCAATTGTGACAGCATGCTCCTTTTTACGGGGTGCAGAAGACTCACCTATTTAAGCAGTAAAACACAAAAGCATTTGAAGCTTCTAACACGTTCCTCTCCCTCCCCTCCAGGCCCATCTCAGGAAAGATCCACACAGAGACACAACTGACTTGGACACTGGGACACCCCTGCCTCCCAGAGCTTTGAATCCAGCAGATGCAGTGCCAGCTTCTGGAATTTTAGGCCCTGATGGATGACAAATATGCATACAACAGATATTTAGTGCTCGGAATCTTATGGTACTTTGTTTTGTTGTTCTTCTCCACTCACCCCACTCCCCCTGAAACAAAACTGTGTTGTCACTGCTGCCAGGAACAGGCACTGAGCTGTGTGGTTAAAGCCTTGAATGAAATGCATTGCAGTGGAGCAACAGGAATGAGCGTAGGCCTCACATACCAGGATTACTTGGAGATAAAAGACTGCAGAACAAAGCTGCCGATGTGATAAAACTTACTGACAAACAGCATGCTTCATCAACATCAAAAAGATAAATAAAGTTCTATTCCTCTGTCCTCCTCAATAACAGTACCTGAAATTTAAGTTACAGTTAATTTCTTAATTCTACAGTTATGGTGGAGCCCTAAATACTTGATTTTGAATGCATCAGATACAATTTTCCCCTTGTTCAGTATGTCTGTGATACAAACCTGGGCTAAGCAAACAAAATAAAATTGGAGCCTGCTGAAAAAGAGTAAAGCAGTGCTATCTGTTCTCTATTTCAAAGAGGGCCCCAAATTAACCTGACAGGTAGACGCTGTGGGACACCTACACATGATATGAAATTCGTATCTGGAGCACAGCATGACCAGAAGGGAGAGTTAGCAGTACAGAGTTTCAGGAGAATGCACAATCGCAGAGATGCACAGACAGAAAACATGGGATTGTCTTTCCATACACAAGGCACAGAACAGATGGAGGCGACAGAGCAGCACACCAACTAGGAAACTGAGTCTGAAAGGCCTCCTTCTTCCAGCTGCTGGATGTGGGATGTTGATTGCTGCACTGTCACAAATTTGAAAGGCACTAAACATGCACAAGCACACAAAAATGCTGTATTACCTTCCAATGCAAAAAAAAAAAAAAAAAAAAAAAAAAAAAAAGAAAGAAACAAAAGCCCCAAGCAGCAGCCAGAGCACCTCTGGGCAGACACTGCGGCTTTCATTTCTTTGCCACTGGATTTAGAAAACAGATATAAGCCCAAGGGCTAAATGAAGGAACAGTCCTGGTGCTCACTCTTGATCAGCTCAATACTCCGAGTTCCTTTGTCTCGCTCAAGTTTATTTCTCACAGCTCTGTATTTGGCTACAGCAATTATCCACCAAAACCAAGAAGCAGAGGAGTCAAACGGGAAGGAAACACTGTGCAGTTCTTAAAGACACAAACAGAATCTGCAGATCTCCATTAGCAAAGAAAAACACAGTACAGATTCACCCATAAAGTCAGAACAGGAACGTTTCCATACATTCAATGAGCAGCAAGAAGTAACTCAAAACCTTTCTTCCCACTATCAACTTCTCAGCTGTCCCATCTATTCGGTTTAATCAATATTTCTGGCATTTCTGTGAGCATTCGATGTGACAGAAGTAGAAAGATTTGGTATTACAGGGCAGAGGGTAAAAATCAAACTCAAAGGAAATAATCGATGTTAGCTGTTCAGTACCGGAACCAAGTGTTCAGCCATGGCCTAACGAGCTGGCACTGATTTTCACATTTGGTTGCACCAAACAAGGCGTACCAGCCAAACTACAAACACAGTAAAGCAAAACAAACACAGAAAAACCTTAGCTTCCATATATTTTTAACACCATGTCAGTCATTCTTATGCAAGGACTCAGAAAACGGAGGGCTGCATGTGACACCAATCACATCCACAGAACGCACAGAACGCACCGCCAGGCGTCTTTGTAAGCCTCCAGCATTCCCTTCCAGAACTCTGCTTTCCTCCCACTGCCTACAGCCACCACACGTACAGACATTTGCACGGACTCTGATCTGACAGCAGAGTACTGAACAGCTGTCACATGCATGTTGACAGCACAATTCTTCTTGTGTACAATTCCATTTTTAAAAAGTGCTCGCGTCCAAAAGATACAAAAACTACTTTTTAATCCTGCAGAGAATACGTATGCTATATATGAACACTGCAAATCCTGGAAAATAAAAATAGACGGGGCTCCACAGGTCATCATTATGAACCAGAACAACAAATATCTAAGCATTAGACAGCTCCAATTTCACTGCACAGGAACTGCCAGCTGTAGGAGGCTTCAGTGCAGGCAGGTGCTCTGTGGAGGACGAGTGACATCTGGTGGCTTGCTGGGACAGACTGGGAACTCCCTGAGAGTCACAATACCCCTGCTTTCAACACAGGTTCCCTGAATACTACATCCCAAATCAGCTGCTCTGAGACTTTTGAGCTTTTTATTTTCTTTTAGAGCCACGGCCACCACCAACACACGAGTGAGCTGTGCTCAGCATGCAGTTTTCCCCCTCCTCAGTTAAGAAGTCGCCGCTGTTGAAAGCCAGAGAAATGAGACTCTTTTGTTCAGAGAGTATAAACAGTGATCTTCATATCTGTGTTTTCAAACACTTCCCCAAGTATTGCTGAAACTTTATCCCAATCCAGGCCGTCCAGTCCACACCCAATTCTGGAAAATAAAACATCAAAATAACTATAATGAGCTCTTTTGGAGTATGCAGTGAACAACAAAGCCCTTCAGGCAGTAACCCAACTCACCGTAAGTCAATATAATGCAGTTAGAATACAGAAATAACCAAACCTGAGTGTACTTTTATCACTTAAACCCACAACGGAACACAAGCTTCATTTATACAACGGATCAGAAGAGTTACAGTCAAGATGATATTGAACTCTCAGAGTAGGAGATCACGTCTCAAAACCATCCTCCTACCCAAGTAACACTGAGTTATTTACACAGCACTAATTTGCTTACTTAGGCATGGAAATATCAGTAACTCCATTGTTTAGACAGTGAGTTTTCATGGCTTCTAAACTCTTCCGCATGTCATCGTATGTTGGTTTGTGAGAAAATTTCTTCTTTGTAATCTGAATATAAAAGTAAAAAAGTTATAAATTTGTCGTTATCACTGCAAACTCCCCCCCTCCTCCCTCCAACACTCCTCTACACCCTGAGTCGCTACACTCAGAGTCACCACTGTGAAGGGAAAGAAACTTGGAAAAAGAACTGTTTCATAGCTTGAAATAGTATAATTTGGCAGCTAGTGCTGTGAACTTATAAGTATAAATAAACACACACAAGAGAGCTTGGCTTCTCCTCAGTAGGAAGACTTGAGTAATACATCTCACTTACTTAGGAGAAAGTACTCAAAATTATTAAAGCTGTCATCGTAATATCGAATACAACTTTGTTACAGGGGAGCACTTGAGTCATTCTCTACTCTTACCAGGTAGTAAATATATCGGTCATCTCGTTGGAGAACTGCCACCTCCCCAGTCTTCTTTTCTAAAGGGAAGAAGGTGGTATTTTAGGAAGAGTTACAGTCTACTATGCAATTGACCCTGGACCCCTGGTAGCAACCTTCAAGCTGGAAATCCGTCAGTCCTTAAATTCCCATGATCACGCAGAATTACTCACGTTGACCTAACAGCTCTTCGACGCCTCCAAACTTTTTCTTAAAAAGAACAGCTATCCCTGCACCCATGCGACAGTCCTCACTGATGCAATGAGCCAACGCATCCGTCGGGGGGGCAGGAAAACAGGTCTCCCTTAACACACTTCATCTAAAAAGCAAGCACAAGTGTGAAATCTCGGAGTGCTGGCCACGATAACAGAACACTCTGCACAAACCTGTACAACGGTATCTATATGGTAGCCTGTTTAAGACTTAGATTATAAAGTCAATATGACAATAACATATTTTCTACAGGATCAGATATGAGAAACACGCACCAGCTCACCAGTTCATTTTACACAACCAAAACCGAGAAAGGTAAGATACATAACACAGAGTACCTTTAGACCAGTGCACATCTACAGCACACCACGTGCCAGAGCTCCACACTCCCAGGCACTTAACACCCGAGCTCTGTGCTGATGCAAAACAACTGCATCACTGATACAAGCACAGAACTAGTGGGAAGTAGCTTTATTATCTGCCAATAAAGTCCCCTAAGCTGTACGGTGCAATCGGCTGCTGTTATCAGGCAGGAACGTCTCAGTGCGCACCACATAGCAGCCCACATAACTCATTTCCTACGCACCCGCTCGCCCTGCTCCGGGCCGTGGGTGGCCATGGTAAGGCAGGCTGCGGTGAAGGCTTCAGTGGCTGGAAAGATGACAGAAAGAAGAACAGTGTTAATAGCAACCCCAGAACGGAACGGGGCAGCGTGGCTGAGGGCGCAAGGCTGAGCCTTCACCCAGCGTGCTTCTGGAGCACATAGCACCCACTACGGGGAAAGAACGACAAAGGGCAGCAACGGCCCTAAGCAAAGCGGGGCCGTCCCACAGCAACAGCCCACCAGCTGGGCCAGCGCAAGGCGGGCCAGAACCCACAGGCCTGGTGTTCTCCTCCAGGCCACCCCTGCCCGCTTCAGGACACCCCTCAGTAGAGCCCACCCGCGGGCACGACGTGAAGAACGGACTGCCGGGCCCGGACTGGCAACGCTGCGAGTGTAGCAAGCCTGCCCAGCACAATCCACATCGCTCGGCCCGCTCCGTCACCTCCAATACCGCACTCCCAGCGTCACGTGAAAATGGCCGCCGCCACCCGCTCGCTGGCCAGCCCCTCTAGGCGGGCTGGAGGAACGCCACCTCTATGGTACCCGCCGAGAACATTCCGAAGGCCGACCTACCGCAGCGAAAGCGCGTGCGCGAGACGCTCAGAGGCGGGACCTACAGAACACGTGACGGGATGAGGGCGGAACCGCAGCTGCGCGTGCGCATCGCCGGCGTCGGCGGCCCCGCGAGGCGCGCGCGCTCCCTAGGGCGCAAGCGCAGTCGCTGCAGCCGGGCAGGCCGCGGGTGGGCGGTGCCTGGCGCCGAGGGCCGCGCCGAGGCAGGCGGGGACATCCGGAGCGAGAGCCGCCGTGCGCACGCGCCGCCTGCGCCCGCCCACTCTCCTGTCTTTGTTCGGGGTTGGGCGCCATTTTGCGCGGCGGCCGAGTAGAGGCGCTGATTGGGTTTCGGGGGCCGGTA